TTACAAATACATAATCAATAGAAGAGGTTCAGGAAACTACAGTCTAACCTCTCCTTACAGACACCTCTATAATACGAACACGTCTCTATTACGGACAGTTCATTTGGTCCCGGAAATGCCAAAAATCATACATTCCCTACCTCTGTAATACGGACACCTCTGTAAAGCGGACACTTAGTTCTGTCCCTTTGGTGTCTGTATTAAAGAGATTTGACTGTAATGAAATTGAAAGCGTTACAGTCATGAAGACTTTTGCAGGGACTGATCAAACAACATGAAATAGAGTTTAGTTGCAATATTTCGCCTGGCCAAAGCGACATTGCTTTCTGTTCTCTTAACAATTCCCTCAACTATACTTTTTTTCAAAGAAAATGTGTGGAGATCAGTTAGGAGAATTTGTATGTGGACATTCATGGGGCTTAACGAGTAATTTGTCATTTTCTTTGTGGAACTTTTTTCAGTCAGTAACATAACATAGGAAAAGTTGAGTTACAGCTGTAATTTCCCCATAACAAAACAAGATACACTATTTTTTATAATAACGCCCATTTTTGAGTTGGGCCTAGACATTTCTTATTTACTGGGCAGTTTCAGCCTGGAAATGTTCTTACAGATGTTCTTAAACTTCCATAACAGAAATCTCGTAACTTTTAAGCTACATATAGACCAAATAAGACAATGATTATAGTTTCTAAATTAATGAAATGTACAAGTACAAGTATTATTGACCATACACAACAGGAATGTGTGGAAAAAAGAAAGAAAAAGTGCCCTCTGATTTTTTGGATTTAGAAAAGTAATAGCAGCGAAAAATAAATTGTTCTTCTCAGAGCCTTGGGTATTAATTATGTTTTAGATGTTCTTAATATATTGACAAATTTCAGGCAGAACGTTCTTTTAAAAAAAGTGAGTGTACCAAAATTAACATTTTAACAAAGAATTCAACATCAGCGGACTGTTGTGGAAACTTTAAACCTTCATCAGCACATCTTGCTCAGTACAAAAAGTTCACTTAGCAAAAATCATGAATTTATCTGATCGACCAACCGTAGTAATGGCATATTAAGTCGAGGTGGAAGTCTGAGAGTGGGTGCTTATTTGAAAATACATTTGAAGAGACTTTCTTTATTTTGGGATTTGCTACCCCAACAGTGGTTGAATAAAAATGGTAGAAAACTTAAATAATTTGTTATCTTTAACACTTGTACAAACAGTCTACCTACCACTCCACTGCCCATAAATGAGGACAGGTTAAAAGGAAGTCCTCTTCTGTATTCAACATCACTTTCCATCGCTTTTTCAACGGCTTTGGACAATGCATTATTCAGCAAGTTCCCCCAAGAACTGAAATTCACAGGGCAAAGAATTTGTTACAGTAGTGTGCTCTTTTTAATCAAGTCTCCCTCATCCTGCCCTCTCTGGCATGCCTGATCTATGCCACAATAAGCACCCTCCCCCTGGTGAGCATCTTGTAATGAACAATTCCATAACATGGACACAGAGATGCCAATTCTTAAGTCATTTTCCTACACTGCCCATGAGACACCACTTTTAACACAATCTGTCTTTGCAAGAGTTAATTCTGACTTTAGTGTTCTCACCATGCTGTAGGCACAGGGATATACCCCTATGATGCATGTGGATGCTAACAAGGGAAATTAACAAAAAGTGTAACTTCAGAAGTTATAGGGGCACATGATTACTTTGAGCTAGCTGGGCTGGCTTGATTTGTCAATCTCTTGGCACATTAATGAAACACAATTACAGAAATCATTTTCTTGACATGACAACTGAGATACAAAAAGCCAGCTTAGCGAGGATCCCAGCTCACCAGGCTGGCCAAGGGACAAACCAAACCTGGAACGAGACAGCGGGTAACACAGTATTTCTTGTCCACTGCTTCCAGCCTCTCTGTAGAAATGGCACTTCTGGGAAGGCTCTTTCCCTTTAATACTAGGATAAACATTCAGTGACCTTGGCAAAACAGGCCAGCCCAGCAGATGTGTTTTTCTGCATATACATGTAAGCTTACTTTTCCTGGAACGTAGTCAGAGATAGGTACGTTGTATGGTCTTTATCTTCGATAGGTGCTGGGAAATAAATAGTTCCTCTTGGGAAGTAAAGGAGATCCCCAGGCTGCAGAAAGATCGGAGCATTTTTTTAAATTTATAAATAAAGTAAGTTTATTTTAAACAAACTTCCTTGATACAAAAAAGGCCTGTAATTCAGGTTAAAAAAGGTTTCAAGCCAGTTTGATTCTTTAATTCTATTTTATCTTAGCCCTAACATTATTCATGACTAGAAATAACATTATCAGATTTGTTAATATAATTTATATACACATGACAAAGTCACCTGTAGTCATTCATTTAGTCCTGAAGACAAGGGTTAATAAACAAAACAAGCCAAGTTTTTCTTTAAAAATTCTCAAAGTGAAAACATTGTGCCAAGATTCTCAAGCTTCAGCCACCAATTATATGCACTTATTAGGGTTTATTTTTCTGGAAGGTGGCTCCTGGGCTCTACCAATGGAAAGGGAGTGAGCCCCTTACATTCCTAACCCATACGATATCAATGGCCTTTGGTCATTGAACACAGATTAAATATTCGCTTCGCGCAGTTGTGTCATGACTGTGTAAATAATGCATTACTTGTGTCACCCATTACAGTGATTACTGTTTAAATGTATCTTTGCCGGCAAATACAGCCGTCTCGCCTCACTCCTCACTATTTGCAGGCTAATTGTATCTAGTAAGCACCAGTGAATAAAATCACTGAATTATATACGAGTCTTGTTCACTGTGTTCAATCCAGTTTTCAGGATCCACAGTGATCCCTTTTGTTGACACTGGAACTAAAAGGGCTTTCTCTGATTCACCTACACAATTATGTATGAAACGCGGTTTTCATCAATCACATCGCCAAGGTAAACCGACTTGTTTGTCCACACTTCCTAGCCAACAGCTACTGCTAGTATTCTTTTTTTTTGTGTTATCAATGACAGACGAGAAGGTAGAATAAATTTCCTTGAAAACTGTGTGCAGCACAACCATAATTTTAAAGGAGATAGCAGGGATGATTATGTGTACATTTCAAACTTTGAAAATCAATATGATAATTTTGTTTGCAAAAGGGGTTTTGGCTTCCTTTGAAGGCATTTTCACTGACAACTTTCTCAGTGCTTTGCTACTTAAACCCTTTCAATCCCAGATGGAAAGACAGAGACTCGCTCTAACTTTTCAGTCTGTGGACAGCACGGTTGTCATTAAGAGCCGTGGGCCAGGGATTTCCCCTGGCTACTATGAGTGTGGCCCCTGGGTACTTTTATTGAAAAATAGAAGAAAAATAGAACCAAACGAAATCCATAGCTGTTTGATTCCCTGCCTACTGAGTTCCATTTCTTATCTGGAACACTGCACACACTATAACATGGGCCTCTGTTATTAGCAGGGCAGCAATGGTTTTCAGTATACCTTCATGTCGAATTCATGTATAGGTTCCCCTATGTCACTTAGTTCTAAGTCAGGACTGGCCTCTTGAGGAAGCTCTTGCATAGGTTTAAAGAGTTTCCATTTAGTCTTCCCCTCCAGCTGAAGGATAAATGTCTGAAAAAAAAAGTTCAAATAGTAAATAACGATACACCTCCAAAACATCTAGCCAGTGAGCAAGCTCTCCTATTTGGCAGGGCTTGAAATTAAAAAACTCCTCAGGATGCCTTTTGGCAACCAACTGGAGAAGTGTAGTCAGCAGATGCAAATTTTTAGTTGCCAGTTTGTATGATGTAAATGACACAACACATAGTATGGCACGATCCTTCAGATTTGATTGTTTGAAAATATCACAGGCAGGAGTCAGTATAAATTTGGAGGTAAACTGCGATTTGGCACATTTTTTATGATGAAAGCAAAGCAAGAAAAGATGAAATAATTGTTTGTTTTAGCTTAACCATTTTAATTTAAATCTAAATCATAGAGAAATCTGGTCGCCAAAGTGGTGACTAAACAAGGAGTTTTAGTCGCCAGGAGAAAATGTTAGTCACATTGGCAACCATTTCAGTTGCAATTTCGAGCCCTGTTTGTGTGAGTGAAGCAAGGTGTATGAGAATGCGCGACTGAGCAGCGAAGGTGCGAGGGGCAGAGAAAAGGAGAGCTCATTGCAACGATGGCCAGTTTAGTGTCCTTTTGGTTTTTAATTCACTTTTCCGAGATAGCATCCTAACACCCAAAAATTCAACATTTTCTTATTATTTACCATCAATGGTATTGTTTTGGCATTATGAGCCTCAAAATGACCTTAGCAATAAAAGATAGTAACTAACACTATTTATTAATACTGTGTGACCATTGACTTCAGTGTGTCTGCTATAGCAGGCAGTAGTAAATTATGTCACACCTTGGCCTTAATGCTCTTTGGAATAATATTCTAGGAACAAGTACTTAAATGACTATATGCTTCATGAAACAAACCTCCATTTCATCAAACTGTGGAGCTAACCCTTGTGAACCTGGCTGGAAGATAAATGCATCAGCACCAACAAGATTGGTAAAATAGGTTTCCAGTGATTCCGCCAACCTCCAGACTTCATCCTAGGGAGGCAAAATGTAATACTTAATTTAGTAGCTATGCCACTTTTCACATACTAGTTAATAAAACCATTTTTAAGCCCATGGGAAAACTTACATGTGTATCTTTTAAAATACTATAATACAGTCTACTTCCTTGAATATTGCACACGTATTAATACCCTCCCACCCCCTGGTTTAATTGAAAATAATCCTCCTTCAATAACCACACCTTTCCCTCTCTCAAACCGGCCTTCTATGCAGATAATGTTTTTGTCATCAAGCAAGATGATATCATGTGGAAAGCATTTTATATACCTGCCAACTTTTTCTGAGATGTAGGCGTGAGATTTTTATCCTGGGAGTGCTGGGATTTTTGAAAACGACACGATCATTTCCGAAATTCCCGAAGAAGTCCGAAGTCTTCCGAAGACATCCGAAGTCTGCCGAAGGCGAAGTTATCGAGAAAACGCTTATCCACAAAATCAGAGATCGCGAGGAAGGTATTGTCATTTATTCATTTTACACATGGTTTTCGTTCCTTACATGGGTCTGAGTTAACATATTTTTGGAAATTGTGTCAAGCAAGACGGCAACAACTCACATTTTTCAATCAGGCGTGAGAAATTGGTCCGCAGGCGTGAGCGGGCGTGAGATCGAAGTTTTCAACCCGCAGGCGTGAGACTCACGCCTAAGGCGTGAGAGTTGGCAGGTATAATTTTATTCCTACATTTTTATTGACTCTTTATTGCCTTACCTTTGACCACATCAACACTATAAAGAGTACATTCTTCTCCATTAATTTCATTTGTCTCTTATACTAGCATATATTTGTTACAAAGATTTATAGCTAAAATAAAACTGAACCCCTGCAATAAAGCCCAAAACTACTGCAGATGAACTTCTAGATGTTTTCCCTCCATTATACCAGTATTATTTGGGTGTGGTTTTAACCTGTTTTGTACACATCATAGCAATATGTCTAGACCACGACCATGGCATCACCAAGCAGGCTCAGTTTTTATAGCATTGGTACTCCGTATTGAATACTCTACAAAAATCGGTTTTAAGTTGCGTCCACATGCGAGGGGCAGCCAGCATCTCTACCGTTTAGACAGGGGAGCTCCCTCCCCCCCCCGCCCACCGCCTGGCTCCCCTTTACGTTTGCTCATGTTTATATAGAAATACGGATTTTATGCCTGAAGAAAGGGCAATGCCACTTGTCAGTCATTCGTTAGTTATTTCTTCACGATGATGGCTGTACTGTACATCGACATTGACATTTTTGGATTGAAGGAAAAACAATCCACACATTTCATGACAAAGCTTGCGCGAAACTCTCGCACGTGTTTCGATAAAATTACAAACCTTGTATCTGTCAGGCTGATGAAACTGTACAGCAACGCCAGCCGCTTTTAGGTGCTTCATATTAACCCGTCCATCTTCGTTCAACAACTCAGTCTTGCCTTCCGCGTAGCGAGTCAACGACATATCTTCAATAAACTGAATTTCTTCCTTCTTCAAAATGGCCTCCAAGTCTTTCTTCGTAAACATCTGTCCGTAAAAATCTCCATTTTCTCGACTAACAAAGAGTGGTTTCTTCTCCCAGTATTCGTCGAAAAAGTTATCCAAATTTGTCGAGGACAAAAGCGACTCCAGAACCCTCTGAGGTGAACTGAAGTCTATGGCCTTTGTCGCAGCAGTCGAAGCTTCGGTGTTACCCGCTACTTTTTTCTTTTTTCCATCCGGAGGAGTTGAAGAGGCACTGGGGTTACGATTCTTTCGCTTCATGGTCCAAGAGACGGATAACACGAGCAGAGAAAGATGACAAACGTGCAAGCCAGCAGCTCCACACACATGCAAGCAGAACTCAGCTGTTCCACACTCACATGGAGTTTCGTCAACGCGCGCGCAAGGCTTCCCATGTGAAGGATGCGCCTCTGTTCTTTGTTTTCATTGGTCAGTTTTTCGCGCCATTTCTACGGGACCGCAATATTAAACTGGTAACCTCGGCCATCAGGCCAAATTTCCGCACTAAAATATGATGGTGGATGTACTGTACAAAAATGGTTTTTATTGTCACATTTTTAAATGCTTATTTGTAACGAATCTTTAGTTTTATTTTCATTTTTCTTTTAGCCCCTGAAGAAGGTTTGTTTTCAAACCGAAATATTAGGCAATTTGTTTAAATATATATTTTTTTGTTTTTAATATTCTTTGTTTACTTCTTCATCGCCTTGCCGTAAGGATCAGTTTGCCGTTTCATATTTTTTAAAAAATTTGTGCCGGGGGTTCCTTGATGTAAACTTTTATAATTGAAATAACTTGGTTCTTACAATCCCGTGAGAAAATACGAGTCGTCGTTGCCGGCAACGGGAATAAAGTACACAGCACTGATTGAAAAGATTCTCGTGTTGTCTGGTAAATACTGCTGGAACCGTGCTCTTAAAATTCTTTGTTCTTACTGATATATTATAAGGTATTGGTTTTGTAGATAGCAGGGTTTCTCTATTCATATCAACAAATTTAAAACGCATAGTTTTGTACAAGAGCCAGTAAAATGTCGAAAGTCGTGGCCGTGTATAAAACTGGGACGGGCCGGGACAAGAAGGGGGCTGGACATCGGGACGTGTGTGTCGGAGAAAAGTCGGAGAATGTGTCGGAGACCGTTTGTGACTTAAGAACGCGAGACGATCGCGAGGGACTTGGGGACATCAAAAAGTATGGGACGCGGGAATGTTTGGGATGGAGACGCAGGACGTCAAATACAGGGACGCACGGGACGCGGATGTGAATGATTATTGCAAAAGTCGGAGGTAAATGCGATGTCAGTCACTTTTCTCGTGAATATGTTTTGGTGAAGGCAGCCCACTGCTCTACCCTCGTTTACAGTTATGGGTCGGTCACGCGGGAGTTTCTCCATGTCTGCCTCGGCAAAAACCACCTGCATTGAAGAAAGTGAAACCGTTGTTCTGGTCTTACTGCTGATGGAATATTATTATAGAATAACAGCATTAGATTCCAAATAAATAAAAAAGGAAACTAACTTAAGTGGAATCAGGAGCCCAAGGGCCCCTGGTGGCATATGTGAGCTTCAAACCCTGAAGGGCTAGCTCCGAAATCCATCGCTTGTATCACTAAACCACGGGGGATTCTACTATATTGTAACCGTATTTATTTTGTTTTTATTATATTTGTAGTGGCAAACCTAACAGTAAATGCTTGCTAACAGTAGGGTTGATTTCCACTGACGCGTTTTTGGCTACGCACGCCTTAACGTACTTAAAGTTAAATTACGTCAGCTGAAAATAGCCGGCAAGATATAAAGTTGAGCGAAGTTGACTTTTACGCTTACGCTCGACCTTTCATACATTGCCTCTATTTTATTTGCGAACGTAAATTTTCCAACGATATAGTCAGTGCGCTTACCCCTGTATGAGGAAATGTCTTGTGCGAACATCATAAGGTGTCCAGTTTGGTTCTGGACGATGGAATCTAATGTTGACAATGAATAACACATCTTCACGAAGAAAGAGATATCACATTTATCTCCGAATTTTGCAATGTTCATTAACGTCTCCGCGTCCCTGTATTTGACGTCCCGCGTCTCCGTCCCACACGTCCCAGCGTCCCATACTTGATGTCCCTAAGTCCCTCGTCTCACGTCTCTAAGTCCCAAGTCCCCGACACACGCGTCCCAATGTCACCGTCCCAGTTTTATACACATCGATAGTCGTGATCAAAAATGATCATAGGATACGTAAGTTTTCAAAATATTTTCTTGTGGAATTATGGTCCCGACCAAAGTAAGAAAAAATAACTGAGCGCCTGAAGAAGAGGCAACGGCTTTTCACCCAAAAAACCCGACTAGGAGAGGTCTGACAAAGGGTGAAGATTCATTGCTTCCTGATCATTCCTTCTCGAACATTTTCGTTGTTTCATTATTCTGGTAACATTACGAGCGCTATGTACACCCTAAGTGAGACCAAAATGCGAAATTTACACCCGTAAGCGAGACAACGAGCAACCCCGCCCCATTCATATGGGAGGCCCCCTCCCCTCGGGAGGTTCACCCTCGCTAAACGTTTCTAGAAGTGCTCCTAATCCTGAGGGCGAAAGGAACTAAGAAATCCTTGGGACCTGGCGGTTTGGATCGCACGCGATGACAGCTATGATCTTATTTTCAGACACCAACATTTTCCCACTCTTTGTTGACTTGTGCGCTCAACTTAAAATCAAGGTCACTTGAACTCTCGTTTTTCTCGACCTTGAACATTATTTTCCTCTGAGAGTTTATTAAGGCTTCCAGTCAAGTTTGCATCAGTTAGAGCCCGCCAAAGGTATAGCGGGAAAAGACAAGGGTAAGCTGGTAATGTCTGGGAACATTGTTCGTTCTGATGCAAACTGCAACTACAATGGCACGCAACAAGGCCTCGCGTTTTCTTAATGCATGTCAAAACCCAGTCATGAATAGAGATTAACATGGGCTCTTAATTAGAACGTTTGGTACACAGGTCTACACATAAAATCATCTCCATGAATATTCACGACTGTTTTTACTTTTAAGCTTCGAACGAAGTGACGACATTAAATTATACAGTTTATTACGGAAAATTCCAGTAGATTAACAGGTAATTAATGCTTCTGAGAAAACAGAAATGATTTGAATCTTTTTCGGCTGGGGATGCCATTAATGAATAACTACCGTATTTTTGGTTTTTCCACCATTTTTGAATATCAGATGTCCTTTAATTTAGCCGAGCCGCCTATGTAAAAAGATAAAAAAACAATAATTGGATCTGAAAGATGAAAGGGCAACCGATTCACGAAGGGAAATAGAGCGAAGAGGAAGAAAAACAACTCTCATCTCGCGTCAGATTTATCCCGACAGATAACTGGGGAAATGACATAAAATACGGAGAAACTTCCATTAAACCAGCCGACAATGGTTTTTTTTTCTCTGGTCGCATAGCTTGACAGTACTTCATGACTGAAGTATAAAAATAAACTTCACAGCGCGCCGCGTGCTCTGGTCGTCCGCAAAACGAAACAAACAGAAAAAATTAGCACAAAACAGATAACATTTTTGTACCGCTGATATGGCATTGTCAACTGCCACTTTCTGTTCGCCACTGTCCACTTGTATGATAAACATATGAAATTATAAACGCCAACAAACGTGCCCTCCCCAAAGCAGCTGCCGATATCTGCAACTGCAAAAAGACGATAACTTATAGATATTTGAAAACATATTTCTATTTTGCAACAACATTTTAATTCGATTGCCTATGTTACATATGAATCATGGTCCAAAAAACAAGCTCACAGCAAACTACAACATCCCGGGAACAGGCTTCCACAGTAAATAATTCAACCACAACGAAAGTCATTCTTCTCGAGGAAAATATGATGTACAAAGTTTACATATTCTCTTCATAAACGAAATGCAATACCAGCGAAATTGAAGACGAAACGAACATGAAGGTTTTGGACAGTTTTGAGCTTTAGGAACAGCATTTTTGATCCACAAAAAACTTCATACGCTGAATTAAGTAATTCAATGTTGTTTTTGGACAATCTAGTAAATGGATTTCAGTCTCTACATACAATCTCAAATTAGGTGCTAATTGCTTACTGCCGCATGAGATTGTTTTGACTGTTTTTCAGACGAAGAAACGAGTACACTGAGTAATACAAGTGATATTACTACAAAAATAACCACGAAAGAACGTCGAGCTCTTGAGGTGCTAATAAAGTCAATTGCGCGATCGATATGAGAGAATTACAACGATAACTAAAAAACTTAAACAGTCGTTTCGTTGGAATTATTCCCGCCGATCTTCTGATTCTTTGGACGCGGAGGTCTTTTCCCAATCACTAGATAGTAGAATTTTTTCCACGACTGTAATGTCTTTGGTGACCAAATCCAAAAACCTGAAATCGTCCCAACGAAGAGAGACATGAAAATCTTTAACTGAAATATGCTGAAATTCGGCTCGGCGATTCTACTTTCACGCTTGCCGTAAAACCAGTACTCTTTATTCGCGTATTCATAGAAGTAGCAAGCGATTACAGCCGTCGCAGGGACGGTTGAAAACACGGAAAATATCCCAAGGCGAACGATGAGTCTTTCTAGTTTATTAGTCTCGCTCTTTGTACTGGTGTCTCGTTGAACCGTTGCACGGATGCGAAACAACGCCACAAATCCAGCGATTAGAAACAGGGTGCCGATAATTAGATAAGTAAACTCGGGACCCAGAACGAACGCAGCAAGAGCAATCAGGTCTTGATTTCCAACGAAACAAAGTCCAGTCAATTCATCGCCGTCGATTTTGCGAGTTATCAAGATAAAAATTGTTTTGATGGTTGGTAAAGTCCACGCAATAACATGAAACAAGTTCGAGTAAGAGCTGATGGCATCGTACCCCCATTTCATCCCTGCCGCGAGAAACCAAGTTAGCGCCAAAATTACCCACCAAACTGTTGCGGCCATGATGAAGAAGTACTGTATCAAGAAGACAATAGCACAGCCAGTGTTTCGCAAACCGTCTTGGATAAGAAATTTTGGCCCATTGTACTCCTGATCGCATGAGATTGCTTCGCGGCCAGCTGCTAGACGAATGATAAAAGATATGGAGTAGAGGTTGTAACATAGAGCGAGCCATATTATCGAACGTTCGGGGTATTTGAAGCGTACTGTATCAACCAAGAACGTACAGAGAACAGCGAACGTGGATATAAAACATACTACGGACCATACAGTCATCCATCTGTCGACCGTTTCTTTGTCCGAAGTTTTAAAGATACCTTCTTGATTACACAGCACGGCAC